AGGGAAATAGCGGCCATATAGGAAAAGGGAGTGTGCCAGAAACGGTGTGACGCGCGCACAGAGAATACAAGGCTGCAGAAAAGATTGCCAAAAGGAGGGGAAAGTTTGCTTTTTTTCTTTAAAAACTAAAAATACAAAACTTTCCAACCTGAATTTTGAAGCATAGCTGCTATGACAGTTCGTAGAACTTTTGATTTGAGGTTAGAGTTTTTGAGCAACAGTCTTTGAAGGAATAAAATGAGAAAGAATGATAAGTAGATCAGTATGGTCAGAATTACAAATAACGGAATCACTTGGCCACCAATAAAATTCATGTAAAAGTTCGGGTCCACCGTAATATAGCTAAATTAAAAAAAGGTTTTGATTTTTACAACTTTTATACTTGATCGAAAAATTCCCATCTAGAGTGTAGCTCATCGGGACAAACGCCGAAATATAGACGCCAAATCCGATTTTGTAACTCCAAATTGAAACGATTAAAAAGTAGACAATCTTATTGTAATTTTCCTGAAATCTTTCGAATTACTATGAGTATAAAAACTGTAAAAGTAAAACTGTTCTTCTATTTGTAGGTAAGTTTAGTTTTTTATTCATATAACCTCATTAAATCGATGCCATCTCAACAACATGACAATTCTTGATACGGCTAACACAAAATTCCATAGCACCGCCTGACAGGTGAAACAGAAAAGAACGATAAAGTAGATTCGGGCAAAGATTTGAATAAATCCTTGTAGATATAGATAAACAAAACCCCATTGGGAGGGTTCTTTCATTAAGAGTTCGGTCAGACAGACAACCAGATCGCAGATTACTAAACGGAGAAAGCTGTAGTGGTAAGCTGGAGACATGGAAAATCGGGTCGGGTCGGATCGGGGGGATCGGATTGGGTCGGGTTGAAGATTCCAAAAGTTAGTCGCAAAAGTTTTTTAGCATTTCATTTTTTTCAAAGCGCCCGTACTTTCAAAAAATGCGTCTTTGGTATCAAAAAATAGCTGAAATTCAGGGCTATTTTTTGTTACCTAAGCGCATATTGTAGTATAAACAAGTGTGGAGAAACACTCGTTCAAAGCTAGACCACGCAACACTCCGCACCGTCATTATGGGGGTGGAGTACTATTACAGTATTTACGGTATGTCTTTAACCCACAAATATTCAACAAACACGTCTCGTAAATTCGATCATGTTTAGTATGAGATAAAAGAATCGAAATAAGAAGACATTGAATGGGAATCGTCGTCAGAATGTGTAGATCGAGGATTATTGAGAGCGCATCCATTTTGAAAAGAATTTGGCTGTAAAATTTGAGACCAACTAGTCGATTTCCCCATAAAAAGTTCAAGTTTGGTTCCAAAAATATAATTGCAACCCCGCCTCAAATTGACTCAATTCCCAGGTGATCGTGAAGTTTTTGAAAGCATTTTTTTACCCGCCTTGTGCATTTCCTCAATTAAATTGGGGGTTGTAGCGTGATAAATTTATTTTAGTTTCGAAAAACCCCACAAGACCCCCAGAAAGCTGGCTCGCCCACACAAACGACAACATCGCAGCTCACTGAACAAAGAACTTAAAGAGAATACTTTTTATTTTACGATTAATTGAGTAGCCTTAAAGTCTTATTAGCCATCGAAAAGTTTCAATTTGTGAGAGGAAGCAATTGTGCGTTACACTGTCGTTTTTCTCGTGTCTCGAATCAGCATTATTTTTATTCATTGCTTTGATACTAGTGTTTTATAAGTAAAAATTAAACTTAATATAATATCGTAATATTGGGATAATGGAAAAGTTCTTTCCGATATTTTGGGAGAGTACCTTAAATTTGTCCAATTTTGACGTTTTATAGCTCATCCTAAAGCTGAATTCAAGACGGGAACAACAAAAAAAAGGGGGAATTGATGAGATCATCAATTGATGGGATTGAATGTGATGGCCACTGGAACAGGGCAATTGTGCGGTGAGGTTTAGTATTCAAATCTAAGTTTGAAATCCCAAAAATGCATGGAAAAGGCGTTTTTGACTCGAGAACAAGTCCATCTTATATTGGGTTGGTGGAAAATTCCTTTCGGATTTTTTGGGAGAGTACCTTAAATTTGTCGAATTTTGACGCTTTATAGCTCATCCTAAAGCTGAATTCAAGACGGATCGATTGGTAAAAACCGTTTTGAGATATCTCTTTTCTAAAAGTTTTTACAGCTATTTTAGTAAAGGGCGGCAGAGCCAAAAAATGGCTGTTTCACTAGTTTTCCGTGCAGAAACCTAGCCTAAAAACATGTGTTTCGTGATCAGCGTCAAAAATAACCCCTAGACACAAATTTTCAGAACCTTAGCAAAAAATTTTTGAAAAATATTGTCACCGGTGGAAGTCGAACCAGCGACCCTCAGATCAATAGCCTTTCCGCCGCTTTTCGCGATTTTCCTTCGATTTTCCTTAAGGTACTCTCCCAAAAAGTCTGAAAGGACTTTTCTACCAACCCAATATAATATCAACATACGTATAACCTCTAAAATCGTACAATCTTTGACAAAAAAATGATGGAATATTCAAATTTCATCTTGTCGTTAGATATGTGAAAAAGTATTCAATCAAAATTTTCTAGTATTTTGAAAGGTTCAATTCAGCAAGTATTTTAAGAGTTTCTCAATACCTTATCAAGTGATAACCCTTTTTGAGACTCTTATCCTTTGACAATCAAATGAGCTGCAAAACCATAGGCGAGTAGCAAGCGAATGAAGTTCTTGTGACGACTTATCCACATTTTAGCGCAAAATACAGCTGCTGGAAGATTGAGCAAAGACGTAGAGGATGAACCGGAGTTCTTTGTGTGGCAAAATCGAGTAGAGAAGGACGAAGATCAACGGCGGAATGACAAGAGGTGGCAGCCTTCTATCAATCAGCAATCCAAGCGAGTCAAGCATTACACGGGGAATTGCTGAGTAGAAGTACCATAAGAAAGGAGACACTCCATATTCGTGGCTTCGATTTAAAATGATGTTGAACCATCCGACTTCTCCTTCCGGCCAAAGCCAACGTCCCCAAAGCAGTGAATCGAGCGGTACTTATCCTTATCTTTACCAAATTCTTTCATAACGAACACAAAGCCGATAACAAATTTGCCTTTTTTAGCTTGTTTTGAGCGAGAATTTATCAGTATTGTGCAGAAATCTATAGAGTGGATTTCTGATATTTCTTTAGATTCATAATCTCTAGCTTATATTGAGCTTTATGTGTGTAAATCTCTTCCACTTTCTCTATAAGATCTCTTTGTGCAGATAAATCAGTTTTCGAGTATATATTCTACCACTGAACTACCAGCGACGGAAAATACAGCAAATATGTAATTATTCTTATTTTCCACAAGTATATTCGATATAACGATTTTTATTCAAAATTTGGTCTTGACCTAATTGAAAACCTCGATATGACGATATTCGATATAACGATTTGTTCGATATAACGATTTCAAGCGTGGGTCCGGAGATCTTGGCAGATTGCACAGATCTCGACGCTCATACTATGATCGGGTTTGGAAAGTATCTCAAAAGGTTCAGATAAGTGTATTTTATCTCTTGGGACTCTTGCCAATGTTTGGATGAAAACAATAAAGTCTGAGGGGGAGATGTAAGGATGAAAGATGGTTTGAATTGTTCTCTTTTTGATGCTTCGCATCCATTGAATTGCACTATTTTTGCAGTCAATGGAGGAATCAAAAGCCCCTTTTTCTGAAAGAATATCAAAACATTTATAAACTCTTTCAATCAACAGACAATGATGATAATGATAGATTTAATTAGCATATATCTCCTCATCAGGCAAATCGACTTCTAACAAAAGTCTTGTGCATCCGTTCTCCAGCTCTTTCAGCACAACACTGTTCTTCAATGTTGCTTTTTCAATCGGCTCTTGGGCTTTCTCTGGGATACGATCCTGAATCAAAACGTGAATTACTGATTTAAATTCATTTGCACGAGCAACCAACTTTCTACAGTGAGACCAGGCTCTTGCCATATAAAACGGTGCTTATCGATTTTGACATTGTTAACTACTCGCAAATCTTTTTGTGGAGACTAGATATAACTCGTCGACAAAATTAGTGCAAACCAGAGAAACAAAGCCAACTGAATATGTTGAAAATTGTTTATCTTCTACACTTTTCTTTGTACTAACACTGTGAAAATCCTACCTTAAGAAAAACGTGCTCGAGACATTCCTCGGCACTAAAACGTTCACTTGCATCTGGTAGCAACATGTTGGTTATCAAGTCGCAAAAGTTTTTCCTATCGACTTTTTCCTATCGAGTTTTTCCTATCTCGTTCCAAAAGGCCACGACAAGTGCTTGGCTTTCCCTAGTGAGAGTAGTAAAAGCTCTTGCAAAGTTTGCTACTTGTCAAGAGCAGCAGATTTTAGTTCAAAGTCCGGCAGTTTTCAATTCACCAACCCAATAATATTAGGTACTTGCAAAAGAAACTGCGGATTATAACCAATATTTGAACAACCCCAAAATCAATAAGAAAACAACTTTATTCCAAAAGATATTCACCATTATTATCAACTTTTTTCTTCCATTTTTTGCGTAAACTTCGGATGCCTGATTCGAAAGATTTGGGGTCCCGCGACGCAAAGTAGTCTTGCACCCAAATTTCGACTTCTTCAGGATTGTTAAACTTTTGATTTGCAAGAGAGTGTTGCATAGACCGGAACAAATGATAATCTAAGGGAGCAATATCAGGCAAATATGGCGGATGAGGCACGAGTTTCCAGCCTAATTCTTCTATGGTGTTTTGAGCCAAGTTTGATGTGTGTACCCGGGCATTGTCAGCGAGAAAATGGATTGTCCTTGGATTAACACCTCTTTCGCAAAGTAGTCTTGCACCCAAATTTGTGTTTCTTCTTATGTTTACAGATTTTCAAAAGTAAAAATCCTTTTGCTTTTGAATAGTTGGCATTCAACAAAACTTTATTACCTCACAGAAAATCAAAAGGTTTTTATTAGAGCATTCAATTGGCCGGGGCAGCAACTATTGGGTAAATTGGTTGTTGACTCATCAGACAAGCGACATTACGTGACGATCTCTCAAGTCTCACGTATCCTCGCTCTCCCCATTCGACTCCCCATCTGCAAAATATTTGATAAGCTATTTCCTGGCACTAAATGCGATAAATTCAAAGTTTCAAAATAAAAATTCTTACGAGTTCTTGATGAGCCAAAACGGGCCTTCTTTTTCATCCACACCATATCCTACTAATAAGACTCCATGATTGACCTTTTGATCTGAGCACGGATCATCTCGATACACACCAGAATCTGAAAAATTTCTGTATACAATTTAGAATAGCTTTCGATAAACTTCGTAAAACATATTATAATGATAGTTAAACTTTAAAAACTGACCTTTTGTGTAATTGTAGCGGAAATGGTTGGACGCAAAAAGACTTACAGCAAGTGGACCGATTTCAAATAAAGCCGACTGCAATTTCTAGCCTTATATCAATTTAAACAAACACTTTAACATTTTCGAAAAGAACCTTACATTGCCAACAAAAGTACCAACAATTTTCTTATTTTGTTCATACTTTAACAACTAACTTTTATTGTTTGTTCGTCTCTTGAAACAGTCATGTATCCAGAATCAGCGGCGATATTTTGACTTTTATTATTGTGACACTCCTGCTCCTAAACATTATATCACATTTGTTGAATCCTTAACAACTGTCTACAACTTTTAGCGACTATCTAGTAGTTTTTTGCTTTTGAAAAAACATGCACATAAACTCAAAAAAATTAATGATACTGCTCTGGAAAATCTTATTTCTTATCTTATTTCTAATACATATATACAGGGTGGCTACAAAGTATTGCGCCAAATCAAAAGGTCATTGTAGAATTGAATTTCACACTACTATTTCAATATTTCCAGCTCTCAAGAATACGTGAAAGCATAAAGTTGTAACAAATTTGTTTCCGAAAAGTTGGATGGTGTGGACGGGAATCAGTGCAACTGAGAAGACTCAATTGATTTGATCAATCGATCAATTCATCGACAAAAACGTCAAAATCAACGGGAACGTTTATCAAAAAGAGATTTTGGACAAAGCTGTGCCTCCCTTGGAAACAAAAAGACCCAAATATGATCGTACAACAAGATTCGGCTCCATCCCACGACTCCATCCCAACAACAATCGCTTACCTTGACACCAAAGTGAAATCATATCTGACCAAGGATCAGTGGCCTTCAAACAAATCTTAACCCATTGGACTTTCCAGTCTGGGGATACTTGGAAGGACGTTTGAGGACACGGAAAATCAACAATTTGGATATCTTGAAGAAAGCTCTCATCAAGGAATGAGACGATTTAGACCCAGCTTACTTGCGCCCACGGTTGCCTCACTGCCCAAAAGAATCGACGCTTGTATTAAAGCCGATGGCGGTCATTTCGAAACTTTGTTGTAGAACTTAGTTCTTTGACTTTATTTGTTATAAAAATAAAAAGTTTTAATTTATTTAGCCTTTTAACATTTGGGTATATCCTTTTGATTTATCGCAATACTTAGTAGCCACCCTGTATAATGCCGTTCGTCTGTTCGTCTGTCCGTCCAAGGCTTTTGTTCGGGAAATTGACCTAGGGAGCTGTAGCTTTAAACTCCGATTTTAGAGTTTAAAAAATCGCTGATTCCGAACCTAAAGCCCATTTGAAAAAAACGTATTTCCCGCCGAGTTATTCGACTTTAAAATCTATAACAGCCACCCAATTTGCATTTAAGAGGGGAGATTTAATGCAAATTTTAGCAAAGCAGATAGCGGATGCCCAGCTCAGCTGGTATAGCTATAACACAAATTTGCTCGTTAGCACAACCTTTCCAACATATGGATATATCGTGTCTTTGGGAAGGCCACCATCTGTTCTTGCATAGTTGAAAACATCTCCTTGCCACCCACCTTTCGAGCAATTGTGTGACACACAGTCGAGCTAAATGACAAACTTATTGTCTCAAACATTGAGAAATTATCAGTGTAAAGAATTCATGTAAAAAAGTGTTAGTGGGAGGCTGGGAAAAATCTGTTATATTGGATGAATGCATATGAAATGGCTAATCCAGGCGAATTTCTCCACTAGAGCAGCTATCTAATTTCTGTTTGGTTAGAATGAAAAGTTATAATCTTAAGCTAATAACGGCCGGGTAACTTTTTTATTTGACATAAAATTATCGAGAAACTTTTTGATCATTGGAGCCCACTCAACTTTGATATTCTTTTGAACTAAAGTTCTATTAGCTTGATGGTTTTTATTGTTCTATTCTTGTTCAACAATAGAACATTGTACAGTGCGTTTCAAATTCTTAGCCGCACCCTCTAAATTAAAGAGTTTTGCATTTTGAACAATGCTGCAACTATTATTCCTTTTCTATTGGAAAGAGTATGTAAAAAATATTGTAAAAAGTTAAAATTTTCGAAATAGAAACTTTTTGGTAAATCAGCCGTTTCAAATTCTTAGCCGCACCTTTGTTTATACCATGTTTGCTATTGTTTTCCTTTTGTTGTGCATATTCTATTATTACATTTATAATGTTTGTTAATTTTCAGGTAAATGGCACACGGAAAGCTGCCCACGGGTTAGGAGAAGGGCCAGATTGATGCGCGTTTGAACATTGGCGGAAAAGAGGAAGTAAAACCCATGAGAAAAATCGCAAACGATTTGGAGCGATCCGACCGTGTCGTGCGTAATTATATCAAGTCAAAGGCCGTTACTGCACCAAAGAAGAAGTCAGGACCAAAACCAAAGCTTACACCACGAGCTAGACGCCATATTGTGAACAACACCCATGGAAAAACGATCAATGACGTGAAAACGGAACGGAACATCGACGCTTCAAAGTCGACAATTTGGCGAGCCGTCACGGAAAACCCAAATATTGATCGACACTTGTTGAACAAGCAACCGGTCGTGGATCTTTTGCACAAGAAAGCCCGATTGGAGTTCGCCAAGGCTCATATGAATCAGGATTGGTCTAAGGTTAGAAAGCCGCTTATGTTTTATTAGTTGTTTTGCGTTTAGGTGATCTTTTCCGATGAGAAGAAATGAAATTTGGATGATGGCGTTGACTACTATGGGAGGGATCTTCGACGTGATCGGATGGTGTTCGGGACTCAAAACTTTGGCGGTGGTTCTTTCATGGTTTGGGCCGCTTTTTTTCCTGATGGAACTGCTGGAATTCGAATCGTATGAATCGTTTTGACTATATAGACATCTTTGGCAATTGCTTGTTGCCGTTTTTGCACCTAAATCCAAACATTCCCTATGTGTTTCAACACGACAACGCGTCAATTCATTGAGCCGGAGACACCCGAAACTGGCTGAACAACAACAACATTGCAACTTTGGACTGGCCCGCTCGATCTCCTGACCTCAATCCGTTAGAGAATTGATGGGGAATACTTGTCCAAGCTGTCTACAAGAATCATCGTCAATTTCAAGAGGTTCTTGCACTTAAAGCAGCAATCCGTTTGGTCTGGAGCTATCTCGACGTATCTGCTCTTCAAAATCTCATCAATTCAATGTCAAACCGCATTTTTCAAGTAATTAATCGTTCTGGTGCATGTACAGATTATTAGTTTGGATTTTCATTTTTTATTGTTAATATTTGTCGATAAAAAAAAATTTTTTTCGTAGTGCGGCTAAGAATTTGAAACGGCTGATTTACCAAAAAAGTTTCTATTTCGAAAATTTAAACTTTTTACAATATGCTTATTTTTAGTGTTTTCTAGGTTTAAGACATGCTCTTTCCAATAGAAAAGGAATAATAGTAGCAGCGTTGTTCATAATGCAAAACTCGTTAATTTAGAGGGTGCGGCTAAGAATTTGAAACGCACTGTATTTATTGTTCAACATTGTTCTATTTAAAGATTTCAGTAAATTTTTATCAATATGTTTTTCAAGTTTTGAAAATGATTTGATGCGATTAAAGCCTGGGATTTTTTTAATGTGTTAGCTTTTTATTGAAAACACCTATGAAAATGATGATTGCTTCAAATAGTTTTTTCCACAGTTGGAATCTTTGGTCAAAAAGCTGATTATTATATCACTTTTCACTAGCAACAAATCATAAAAGAGCTTTTTGAAATCTGGTGATTGGTTGGGGAAATCTGGAAAATTTAACCACTTCATATGCATCTTACTTACATATTTTTGTTCGCTTAGCGTAACAAGCTTGCCAGTTGCTTTAGCGAATTGTCCTTCGATAGAAGCCACCGCTCTAAAAGATATTCTTCAAGGAGAAATTTTTTCCCCCCAATCTTTGCGTAACAGCCCCAAGTTGTTAGTCAATCAAAATCAAGCACATAGTAAAATTTTGCTAGCTACTAGCGCTTTCGTTGATTCTCGAAGTTTCTAATAAACTTTTCACATAAACGAGAGGCATGGGCCATGAAAATCGTCTAGCCCAGTTTTTTCAAAAGTTTGCCCATGAACAGGGTGTCTTACAATTATGGTGACGCGCATGTTACTACGTTTGACTGCTTTCTGTCTTTCTTTTTTTCTTTTCTTCTTATTAATTGGATGATTTGATTGTTTTTAGGTATGAAATCTAAGAAAGAGCTGCGTCCAGCCATTACTCTTCATCAGCAAGGAAAAACACTCGCAGAGATACTCGACTACTACGTTTGACTGCTTTCTGTCTTTCTTTTTTTCTGCATCTTGCAGGAAAAGAAACAGAATGTTTTTCGCGCTCTGAAGCGTTTCAAAGAAACAGGCTCCAATGAAGATCGTAAAGGACGAGGTCCACCAAAGACTGCCAATAATTCAAGAAATCGTCGAAATACTTTTGATCGACTTTCAATCAAAATGGGTACATTACCTTGTGTTGAATCCCATTAATTCATAGTTGTAAAAAGAAAACGAAATAAAATGGCTCAATTGGCGGAAATCAGTTTAAAAAAGTTTGCTCAAGTAAAACTTCGAATGTTGCTGCACTAGATCGATCTTAAAAGTCTATGGATAGTCATTATATTACAAAAGGAACACTGAAAAACAAAATTTTAGGTTTAATGTTCAATTCAACGTCAAAACCTAACAAGGGCATGATCCAAACGTATCGACACTAGGAAAAGCTATTAATCTGTCAAAAAAGGCCCTTTAAAAAGTTTCCTTTGGCATAAACAGTATGATCTTTTTAAAATTGGTCTTTGTTTCTTGGTGACAGGCTTTTTGTTGACTGGTCTTTAATTGTTTTTTTTGATTAATATTGAAAATAGCCTGGAATACTGCAACTGTACTGTAAAGAGCACTCTAATAGTCTTAAAAATGGTATTTGTATGTTTTTCAAAAAAGCAAAAAAGTTTGTCGGCGGCGGGACTAGAACCCACCGCGAAAACCGGCATGCGTTCTGTAGTCCGCCACACTGGTCCCTAGGCCGCCACTGCTCCACTGCTTTCGCTGGCGTATGGAGCGCTCTTATTGGCTAAAGGCTAATGGGCGATTTTTCAAAAATGGTCGAAACTTCAATTGCATTTTTCTCGCTAGGATTCTAATTTGAGCAAAAACTGAATGGATATTTGGAATGCCCACATCCGATTGGTGTTTGCACCCCGAGCTTATCATGAAACGTCAGCCCCAGTTTGGATCATTCCCCTTGTAAGAATTTACAGTTAGGTGCAAACCGAAAGCTTTAGAGTTTCCGATTTTACCAAAGTAAAAGGAATTTCAATATTACTACGATCATCTTTGATACCAAAAGTAAATAAAAAAAGCTCACGAGAAGATGTAACAGCTTTTACAATGTCCTTGGTCTTTTACATCTGTCACCAGTCCTTTGTCCCGTAGGTCGAGACTCTCTGGTGGCTGAATTGGTGTCCTCAACAAAAAGTATGACACATATTTTTACCACCAATCCTTTCGATGGTATATAGAAGTCCGAGAGTGAGAGTAGATGTCGTCGGTTTTTTGGCAGCTCTAATCCCGTGTACCGTTTGATAGGATTCTGAAAAAAATCCACTAGTTGGTCATAAATCAAATTTACAAGCAGTTAGTTTAAAAATCTTTAACAGTTAAATGTTGAAAAATTCTTGTAATTTCAAATGGCTAAGTGAGTTCTTGTCACTTTATTTATCTTACCAGGTCTGTGTGCACACCAAATGGGCACCAAATGAGCACCAATATTACCATCGGAATACAAGCAAACATTTCAATTTTTTTTAAAGAGCCTGTCCTTGCAGTTTATAAAGCAAACAAACAATTGCTGAAAAATTTCAACTTCAATATTTGAAAAGATTCATTTGAAAAGCTTGCTAAATTTTAAAAGAGCTGAAAAAGGTTCTGAGTCAGTTTCTCTTTTTCTTTTCTGAAAAAAAAAGAAAAGAAAACTTCTAATATTTCTATTTATGTAAAAAAATTTTTGTTGAAAGGTTAAATGTTTTCTGAAGAATTTATAAATGCATTTATAAAGAATTTATAAAGAGCCTGTCCTTGCAGTTTATAAAGCAAACAAACAATTGCTGAAAAATTTCAACTTCAATTCATTTCTTAACTTCAAGAAGTGTTCTGATACAAACTACTATATAACGGAAAAAAATTTTCGTCCCTTCCATTCCGTTCTAGAGAGAGTCGGCTGTATTTTGAAATGCATCGAGTCAGATTCTGATACTGTTGGAGTGACTCGTACTCTGAAACTAAAGGAGTAATTTGATGCCAAAAGAGACACCTTTGTATCAGAACACTTCTCAGTTCAACTATTGAGAAAATCTGCTCATAAATTCCATGCATTTCGTGCAGTGGCCCTAATCAGGAGTCCTCAGCTTATTTTTTGTTCATTTAAGAAACCTAATAGTGTGGAAACAGCATATTTTGCTGCTATTTGCCTGTCTATCAATCCTTCCAGGGGTCAATTTTCCAATTTCAATTTTATTTAGATAACACTTCAGGTCCAATCAATCCAGGGAGGCTCGATGGTTAAAGCCGACGCCTGGCCGCAAATGGTCGCCATTTTCTATCGCCAAAACAGTTATTTTATTAAAAATTTAAAACATGATACTAACTGCTATTATTAATTTAAATATAAATTTAATAAATTATTTTTGCACAAAACTAATTTCAGGTCGGTCTATAAGTTCCATTGTGGAGGAAAATTTAATATAAAAATTAAAATTAGTTATGGCATAAAGACAATTATTTTACTAACAAAGGAAGGTCATGAAATCAGGGTGGCCAATAGAAATGAGACCTAGACCATCCGATGCAGAATTTGACGCTGATTCCGAATCTGCCATCCGCTTTTGCAAGATAGGTCGGAATCGCAAGGAATTTGGCAAACAATTTTTTGGCATCTCTTATAACGCTTGCGCGCGCGCGTCAAAGAAAGGGTTACTGTAGCGGATAACGTGTCGGAATCAGACTTCCAACCTTCTTCCAACCAAGCTTTTTCAATGATTCTTTAGCATTTGATAATTATCATCACCCCATCATTTAACTTGAAAGTTTCCTTGTTACGAGCTCTCTTTTCGTTTTAAATACATTGCTTACTTTCTGCCGTTCTTCTTCTATTTTAGATATGGTGATTTGTGACTGTCCCGACGACGTAATCGATCTACAAAGTTTGCCGCATCTCCCCGGCTCGGGCCACCCCTTAATCAATTTCAAACTTGTGCGTTCATGTTCAAAATTGAATGTTTTGAACGGACTTTTTTGAACGTTCCTGTAAAGTTTCAAACTTTTAAAGAACTACCGGAGTTAATTGCTTTTTTGGAAAAGAAAAAAGAAACGTAATTGCTAAAAACAATATCAAATCAAACAAGGCTTCAAAATTGATAAGAACAATCACTAAAAGTAATGGCAGCACACGTTTTTTTTTTGCTTTATTGTATAAAGCTAGTGTTGAACAACGCTTTTTTGAATAATAAATTTGAAATTTTCAATGTAAAATTTACGTCGCGTCTACGTTTTTTTTTGAGTACGCGTTTTAGGAAACGCATTAGCCGAGAGAAACACACTCTAATGGACATACTCTCAACGGAGGCCCATTCAAGACATGTCTCAATACCAGATTCGTAAATATAACCATCGGGACAAGATATTTGCAAGGTGAGTGGAACGAGAAAAAACAAAAAACAAAAAATAAAGCTTTAAAGTTAACCAAAATCGAATTCTTATCGCTTTGCTTAATTGAAATGTCAAATTGAAATGAGCTTTTGAAGGGTTCATCAAACGAAGAGACCCGCATTGGCCTCTTTCAGGAAAATTCTTTCGATTAACGCAATTTAGAGAAGTTGAAACTGCTAAAATATGCTTAATTATTTGTTTGTTTTGATTGATAGACTTTATAAGTTCGAACAAATAAAATCAAAAGAACTTCTAGCTTCCACGCTCTTCTCAAACAATTCTTCAAAAAACTTTATTCATACTTTACATAGATGTTGAGGTGATTAGCACGGGTGACATTCGATAATTCTTTGTACTCGACTTTTGTCCACGACACGAAATAGAGTAATGTCAATTCGTAGGAAACCTTCTGACGATAGCTAGCTTCTTTAACTTTTTTCACTTTTCTCATTCGTTTTTTTCGATGAGAGTCAAATTGAAACGAAATTCCTTCAAGATCATCGCTTCTTAACAAATTAGCTCGATTTCTAAAAGTTTTGAAGATCAAATTGAATGGAGGACCTCGTCTGTTCGATGACATATCGACTTTGTAAAGATTCAATGTGAAATCTTTTCTCTCAATGGGTAAACCTCTGTCGAGAATCTGATTGACAATTATTGGGAATCTCTCAAAAAATGTATCAATCAGCTCGATTCTCAACCTTTTGAGGCTACTGATTGACAACAATCGAACCAACTCGGATTGTTCGATTTTGCAAGTGCGTAGAATGATGAAATCGCTTTGATTGAGGTCTGATTCGATGAGATCGATTATCGGCTCGTTATCAAATGCTCCTAGTGATGTGAGTGAGACAGAATGGCCGATTTCAAAGTTTATGTTTGAGACGAACTTTTGAAGATTCTCGATCGACCTCGAGGAGAGACTGAGATTTTGTACGAAACGAAGATTTTTTAAGGAACTTATCATCAATTGAGAGATCTCGTCCAGATTTCCCTTCAAACCCTGTCTTGAATTGGCAACAAATGACAAAAAACGACATGTAGTGATCCGCTCGAATATATTGAGTGGGATTTTAGTGAATGTGTACCGCAGCTCAGTCGCAACATCGATGTCATTGATTTGGAATGGATCTGCCAACACGATTCCAATTTTACAATTGTATAGATTAAATTCTAGATATTCGACATGGAACGGGAAGGGTCCATTCGTGAGAAAATATTCTCGAAAATAGTGATTGACTCGCAGAAGCCGAATAGCCAATCTTGGCTCGATCTTATTCAAAATTAAGCCAGAAAGTTCGTTAGGAAACCGGAGAAATGGAAATCCGGTTGTAGCTTTATTGTTGCTATGTTGTTGACCCATTTTGATAGGAGAAGATTTTAGAAAAAACGATGAAATAAAGGCTGACGCATCAAAAAAGATAAGGGCAGAGAAAACGTGATCAATTCAACGATCTGACGTTTCATGTTTCTTAATAGTGATGGTTCTTTCTGAATGACTCTTTTTAAAAGTAGTCTAATGGTGGAAGATTGATGAAGTGCCGATGAATTCATTAAACGTCGAACAAATTATGGCCACTAACATTATTATGTTTGAAATAGAGGTTAAAGTGATTCTGGGATGAACTCTCTCTTCACCAAACTTAGGTTCTTAAGAACAAATGCCTCAATGACAGAAAGCTACAAAAAACAATAGGTCCGTCCATCGATGAATCCAATCATCAGAACTGAAACACATAAATTCGTCACTCCTTTAAAAACAAGGCGCTAAATTGAGAATAATAAACTGTTGATTGTTAAAAAACTTGAAAATCTCTGATATGTACGAGAAATTGTAGATATGAGCTCACTTTTCCTCGATGTCTCGAATAGTATGTGATTTTGGTTAGTTTGAGAGCGTATTGTAGCCAAATGCTCGGCGCGAAACTTTTACCAAATGAATTACTCGCAAAAAAAATAGCAAATCAGATGTAAACAATAATTGAAAGCACCAAAAAACTCTTGCTTCTATGTCATTTTGTTCATGCTTTTAACTTTTCGATCGATTTGGACAAAATACGATGATCTCTTTTTGGTGTCTCTAATTACTGGAGGCCTTATTTGTTAAACTTTTTAATTTTTAGCATTACTTGGACTAATTCAATTGATTTGATTCATTGATTTTTCACCGGAATTGGCAAATTTTCGAGAAGAAGCGGTTTGAAGCGATTGGCGCCAAAGCGGCGCTGTGCGCTTTCTAAAGAATGGATCCGCTACCGTACCCCGGAAAAATTCTCCTTCCCGACTCTTTTCATTTGGCTTCATTCCATGATCGGATCGGAAACTTTGTCCGGTTTTTAAGCCGGACTAGGCTTTTTTTCTTCTCGTAAAATCTATTACGTTTTTGTAACGCATTTTTAAAGTACTCTTCCTCCTCTCGTTCGTTCCCAAAGAAGTGAAGTTGAAGTTTTTTTTCCAAAGAATACGGTGAATCTGTAAAATTGACTGTATTGAAGTTTTGAAAAGAAAATTTTTGATCTGTTGCGATAATTGATACATTGTAATAAGATTTCAAGATTCCACCGAAATCCTCAAAACGACAAATTGCAAAATACAAAATGCGATATGAAGCGATTGGCGCTAAAGCGGCGCCGTGCGCTTTCTAAAGAATGGATGCACCACCGTACCCCGCGCAAACTCTCCGTTCCCACTGTTTTCATTTGGCTTCATTCCATGATCGAATCGGAAACTTTGTCGGGTTTTTATACCGTGTCCTGCTAGGCTTTTTCCCCCCTCGTAAAATCTATTACGTTTTTGTAACGCCTTTTTAAAGTACTCTTCCTGCCCTCGTTCGTTCCCTCCTTTTTATATTGCTTGCCCATATTTTGTTGTTTAAAATTCTAATACGGCTTTATTTCGTTGCCTTTTCAGCTCCTTCCACTCCATTGTTTTGAATTCATTCACACGTGGTTATAGACTCAACTTAACCAATTCCTTTTACAATTTTACGTTTTTCCTTTATGTCTTATTAGAGTCATTCTCAGTAGCAGAAACAATTTATTAGATTGCTTTTTGCAATGAAAAATGATTAC